AGGGAAAGTCATTTGTGGGACAGTATGGGAGGGAAGATAATGTGGTTGTTTTAGGAAAGTTGTAACTGACAGAGAGTTGTCAATGTTCATATATAAAGAATATAAACTTCTTTAATGTTTGTGAAGGATACATGGTCTTTTGTGTTCAAAGGCTGTTACAAGAACCAGGAAACAGTGCCGCAGGCTCCCCTATATAAAACAGGCTTTCCTGATCTTCCACGATTCCCCTTGGGAGATGTACAGTTGCTGCTGACAGCACCCATGCAGAGGGAGGGGTCCTCTGGGTGCAAGAAGCTCACCTCTGCACTCACACAGAGGTTTTCTCTATCACCTCCCAGTACTACCCACCTGTTCCGGAATTTCTGGTTATTTGCTCACCAGGTGCAAATACTGACACAGAGTCACCCCCCAACACATTATGGATTATTTACTGAGCGACTGTGTGAAAAGAAGATGAGGTTCCCAGGTAGAACGTCTCTTGGTAAACAGGCCCAGGCTTCGGTCCTACCTGAGGCTGAATTCTGCAGAAGGTGACAGCTTGATTCTGGACATACTGATATTGAAGCAGCATCAGGCTATCCACGTGGAAACGTCCAGCAGGCAGTTAGGAACTGAGGACTGGACCCAGGAGTGAGAGCAGGATGGAGGGGTAGGAGGAGAGGCAGACTTGAATCAGATGAGCCAACCAGTGGCTGAAGTGTAGAGGTTGCCAGGGGATAAAGAACCAAGGAAAGGTCCTTGGCAAATACCTACATTTCAAAATGGGAGGAGGAAGAAGATCCTGAAAGGGCAGTCAGATGGGAAGAAAACCCAGAAAAGAGCAACTCATGTAAGCCCAGGGGGAGAATATCAAGAAGAAGGTGATCAACTGTGTCCCATCCTGCAGCCAGGGGCAAGAGACCAAGATGGAGAAAAGGCGCCCAGATATAGCAAATGAATTCTTTGGTGGATGTCCAGACACACAGAACAAGTCTGAGGAAGGCCTGGGCAAGTCTGATCGGATGAACTTGATTTTCTTAATCAAGTCTGAGGTAGAATCATCTGCAGGGAGTAAAGTCTTCCCGTGGCTGACCTTGGGAAGAATGGGACGGTCTAGAATAGGCACTGGAGAAACTGAGAAATTGCATCATCTTCCTTCCATTATGTTTTATTTGTGTGTAAGTTTACTTTTAGTGATGGCATCAACTGCTCTGTTTAGGAAATAGGACTTATTGGTCTGTGGGTCCCTTTAATGGTCTGGTCACCTGTGATATATACTAGCCATTTGTAGTAAGTTGGGCCATTTTGCTTATGCCTCTGAGTCCACCCAAAACTCTTCACTGGTCGTTATCACACACCTCACCCCATCCCCTGCTGTTCATTGTCATCCTTGTCAGCTGGGCCCAGAATTTCCTATGCATTCTTAGTTATTTCATCTGGTATATTCAACCTATCCATTTTAACTACTATCTAGGGTGTACATTTTCTGTAATAAAGTGAAAATTTGTACTTTCCATCTGGCATTTTCTTTTTCATTTCATTGATTTTCCCACTGACACTTTTCCTTTGGTGTGTTTTGAGCACCTCTTTTCTCAGTGTAGTGTTACTATCCTAGTATTCGGCTGTAAGTAGTAGAAAACCCAAATAACAGTGAATTAAACAAATAGGATTTTATCTTTCTCATGTAATAATCATAATTATGCAAGTATGTAGTTATAGTAGTTGGTTCAGCAACTCAGTAATATCAGAACCAATAATGTCAATAAGTTAGGCCAAGCTGATTCTCTTGACCTTTTCCTTATGGTAGTAAAATAGCTGCTACAGCTCCAACCATTACATCCACACTCAAAACAGATAAAAGGGGAAGGGGCAAGGCCAAGGCCAAGAGATTTTTATTTGTATGTTATTGGCCATCACATGACAAATGGCTACAACCTGTAAGAGAGACTGGGAAAGTGAGCATTTAGTTTTTATAACCTCCATAGTAAAGGAGGGCAAGTGAGAAAGAGTTTGCTATTAGATGTTGGGTGAGTCAGACTGGTGTCTACCGCAGCTACCTTTTAGGGACTTCTAAAATATTCAGCTTATCTACTGTTTAAATTGCACTTGACCTGTTATATCTAATGGGCTGCCTTAACATATTCCCTTAGTTTATCATCCCATTTTTAAAAGCCTTTTGAAGAAACATACTTTTAAAGTTAGTCTCTCAGACTGTTTTTTTTTTCCTTTAGTACATACACATTTGTCTTGTGACATCAGTAAGGAATTTTAAAAACCATTTCCAGACTCTCTACAGGCAAATAACTAAAACTCTTCATTTTTAAGATCTACAAGTGCCTGTATTTTATGCTGAATATAATTTCTGAAATTGAAAAATTGTGAGATAGATTTAATTTTTTTTTCTCCTGCCAAGAATATTTGATTTTTTTTTTTCTCATTTGGACTCTTATACAGTTGCTTTTTTTTTAAGGTTGTGAGCCAGTGAAAATTTTGCTGGAGTTGAAGAACGTAAATGTATGTGCCTTTTCCGGCTTTAAACTGTCACATGCATAGGTTCTTTTACTTTATGAACCCTTTTTTTTTAAATTGGTTATTTATATGAACTCTCTGAGCCCTTTTGGGAGCCTGGCAAGTTCTCCCAACACAGTGGAAGTACCTTGGATGCTTTAGGAAGACTAGGATGCTTTAGGGGGATTAGGTTTGTGCATCTGTCCCAAGAGATGTTCTTTCTGCTTGGAACATGTTGATGGAGGCTCTGGGTCTGATAGTCAATGTTATTAGACATCAAATTGCCACAAAGGAAAGTAGTTCTTTTTCTTTTCTCTGGAAGTAATTTTTAACCAATACTTTTTAGTGAATAGTAAATACAGTATTTATATAATACATAATTTGGTAATTAAATATACAAAAGGGAACTCACCTTTGATAACTTCTAATAATGGTGAACTATGATGTGGATAATCACAAATTCCTTAAATATTTATGGTTTTGAAGATGTTTTAATCTCTTCATGAAAGATTGGCCTTTGCCAATCTTAGAAGCTTTGCCCAGGATTTCTTTGCCTTGTTCTCATGTGTTAACATTCTCGGAGAGAGGGAGAGGAAGTATGTCCAGGTGGAGCTGCTGGAGGGCAGGGGGGTTCATTTAGAAAGGCCCCAGTGAATGAGGTTGTTTCCAGGTTTCCGGCAGTGTCCCAACAAAATGTGGAAGGTATCATGTGTGCTGACTTTGGAGACAGAAAATTTGCATTTGAAACCTGTATCTGCCCCTTATGACTGAACAAATAAGTGTGTCTGTCACTTACTGAGCCCTGAGGGTATTATGTCAGGTACTCTTCTAGATATTTCCATGAATCAATTAATCTTCACACAAGTCTATCAAGAAAGTGACTATCATGAGTCCCAATTGATAGCTAATGGAACTGAAGTATGGCAGTGAAGTTCCTTGCGTAAGTTGACTCAGCTAATAAATGCTGGTGTCAGGATTCAAACCCAGGCAGCCTAACTCTAGAACGAGGACTCTTAGTTACTCTGCTAAACTATCTTCTAGAAACCGGGATTTGTGGGGAGGGGAGAATAGGAGTACGTGTGAAAAGCATCTTGGCAATGGCAGAGCCACATAAATGTTAATAGAGGGTGGTGTTTTTCTTTTTTAATGATCTTCTGTTCTTGTTAAAAATGAAAGCTTGACCCATTGACAGATGAATGGATAAAGAAGTGGTCCATATATACAGTGGAATATTACTCAGCCATAAAAAGGAACGAAATTGGGTCATTTGTAGAGACGCGGATAGATCTAGAGACTGTCATACAGAGTGGAGTAAGTCAGAAAGAGAAAAACAAATATCGTATATTAACGCATGTATGTGGAGCCTAGAAAAATGGTACAGATGAACCGGTTTGCAGGGCAGAAATAGAGACACAGATGAAGAGAACAAACGTATGGACACCAAGAGGGGAAAGCAGCAGGGGGTGGGGTGGGGGGGTGATGAATTGGGAGATTGGGATTGACATGTATACACTGACATGTATAAAATGGATGACTAATAAGAACCTACTGTATAAAAAAAATAAATTAAATTTTAAAAAATGAAAGCTTGATTTCTTAGCTAGTTGGGGGCAAAAATCTCTCCCCTTGTGGCCATGTGATTCTCACTTCTGAGGAGCCCAGTTCACATGTGACCCATTACAGTTTCCTAGGGCTGCTGTAACAAAGTGCCACAAACTGGGTGGCTTAGAACAACAGAAGTTTATTGCTTCACAGTTCTGGAGGCTGGAAGTCTCCTCTCCGAGGAGACTCTCTCTCCTAGAAGATCAGGATGTCAGCAGGGCCTTGCTCCCTCTTGAGGTGCTAGGGAAGGGTCTGTTCCAGGCCTGTCCCCTAACTTCTGATGCTTTTCCGGCTGGCAATCTTAGACATTCCTTGACCTCTGCCGCACCACCCCGACCTCTGCCTTCATCTTTGCGCGGTGTTCTCCCTGTGTGCGCGTGGATTAGGGCCCACCCTACTCTGGGGTGACTTCATCTCTAATGACATCTGCAAGACCTCTTCTCCAAATACCATCAAACTCTGACATATGGGGGGCGGGACTTCAACACATGAAACTTGGGAGCTACGGTTCAACCCCTAACACCTCATGTCCCCTTCTGGTCTCAGTGGCGCCACGACAAGTGGGGGCGAGAACGAGCGTGAAGACCTGGAGCAGGAGTGGCAGCCCCCGGACGAGGAGTTAATCAAGAAACTGGTGGATCAGATCGAATTCTACTTTTCTGATGAAAACCTGGAGAAGGATGCCTTCCTGCTAAAGCACGTGAGGAGGAACAAGCTGGGGTATGTGAGTGTCAAGCTACTCACATCCTTCAAAAAGGTGAGGCTTCGTTCTCAGAAGCCGCTTTGAGGATTTCAGAGGTGCTTTGGGTTGTGGTTCTCAATATTTTTGACCCCCTTGAAACCTGATGACTAACAACTTTTTATTTCCTCCAAGCCCTGAAAAAGGGGGAAATGATCAAGAGAAGGGATTTAGGATCATTATTAGGAATATCCTCCCACTCTATTAAAAGGGTCCTGGGTGTTGGGACAAGTCTCAGCTGGTGGCAGTTATGAAATGACATTACTTGTTCTTAGCAAAGTTCAGGCACTCTTGCCGGACAAGTGGGTGGCCGGGAGGATGCTGTGCCAGGACAGGGGGCTCAGTGACCTCGAGAGACACCTACCCAGCCTAGAATTATCTGAAATCTAAGCTTTTCATTTGCCAAGTTGAATAAATAAGAGGAGGAAGGAGCTCGGGGAGATGAGCCTCCTCCAAGACACCAGCCGCCTTTGCTGTGTAATGCCAGCATCCTCATCTACAGGATGGAGATGTAGGATATCTACCGCATGTCTCTGCTGTATAGATCCAGCAACTGGGTTGTGAATTCCCTGCTTCTTGAAGAGTTAACAGGCCGGTTGGAGTAAGAACTCTGTGTCTCCCTTGGGGAAAGTGTATTTACTAGAATGGAAAAGCCCATGTGGCCCGTTGCATAACAGGATGTGTAACGAGTGGGTCCCAGCCAAGCTGCCCGTGTTCTCTGTCAGAGAACGCTGGGGGAGAGCTTTCCTCCCGGAGCTCTTCTCTGCCTCGCCCGCTGGAATACTCCGCCCTCTCCCCTTGACTTCTTTCCGTTATTCGTTCATCAAACATATTTGCTCTGTATGCTGTGCGCTGTGCTAGGCACAGGATATACAAAGTGAACATGTCATTCCCCCGTGCCCTGGCAAAGTCCAATAAGGGACACAGACCAGTGAAGGATCACAGTACGGCAATAGAAAGAACAAAGTACTGTTTGGAGCTAACTGATCAGAGCAACTAACCCTGCCTGGAGAATTGAGAAGTCTTCCCAGAAGCAGTGACATTGAAATCGGATCTTGAAGGATGAGTAGGAGTCTTCAAGGTACAGGAGAAGGGAAAGGGCATTTCATGTTGTAGAGGAAAAACCTACTCTTCTTCCTCACAATACTTCTGCCACCAGATGTGGGGGAGGTTTTTGCCCATACCAGGCAATTCTGTGACACCCAGCTGGGTGTCCTACGGTTTAACCCAATTCTGACACTGTCTACCTGGGGATAGCATCAGATCCCTACAGGTTAAGGGTTCTGCACCACACTTTAGATGCCAGTCACAAGTAGTGCGTCCCCAAGGATCCACAGCTTCTGTCTTACTTGGCCACAAATCCGAGGTTCCCATGACCTCCGCCCCCTTGGATTAGATTATTTGCTACAGCTGTTCACAGAACTCAGGAAAAGACTTAATTAGATTTACCAGTTTGTTACAGGATATGATAAAGGATACAGAGGAACCACCAGACGCAGAGATGCACAGGGCAGGGTCTGGGAGGGTCCCAGGTGTGGGAGCTTCTGTCCCCATGAAGTTGGGGTGTGACACCTTCCTTAGGATATGTTCACCAACCTAGAAGCTCTTCGAACCCTGAACTTTCGGGATTTTTATGGAGTCTTTGTCATGTAGAATGATCGATTATTATTATAATAATTATCTTATTATATAATAATAACAATATGGATATTATTACATCCATTTCCTGCCCCTCTCCCCTTTCTGGAGAATGTCAGGGCTAAAAGTTCCAAGCTTCAAATCATGGCTGGTCCCATCCAGGAGCCCACCCAGAGTCACCTCATTAGAGCAGAAGATGCTCCCTGTGCTCTATTGCTCAGGAACTTACAAACGTTTTAGGAACTCAGTGCCAGTAACAGGGATGAAGACCAAATATATATATTTCTTAGTATAAATCACAGTATCACACATGTCCAGAGAACAGTGAGCAAGCCCTCAGATGAGAGTGCTGGTGGGGGAACCCAAAATGGAGCAGCCAGTGGAATCATCCTGTACATTCCTTTATTCCTCCCCAGGGACCCTAAAAGTGAGCCTAATTTTCTTTCCTTTTTAAGTTGCCACTTACTGGATCTATTTAGGAGAGTTCTCTGTTGAAAACTGGCTGCAGAGTAGACACAGACTCCCCAACACCTCCAAAATGACAGTGAAGACCGTTTTCATTCTAAAGCGTTTCCTGCTAATCATAATAGGAAACATATATGACCAGGGCCATCACAGAGTTTTGGAAAATCTTACCAAGTTCTAGTAATTGCACAAAGATGGCAGATCTCTGGTTCCTCTTCCTAGGTGGTGCCTGGACACTCCTTCCCCAGGCTCACAGACCCAGGCCTGGGATGCTCAGACCTAACAGAGATTCCCAGTGGGCCTGACTCCTGGCTCTGGGCGGCGGGTACTGGGTCCTGCTTCTCTCTGGATTGGCCATGGCCTTCCAGCAGCCTCTCCGGCCCTCTGAGTAAGGCCTCCCTGGCCTTCCCCCAGGCACTCCTTGCCCAGTCTTCCCCTCCTCTCCTGAGTGCTCCCTCCATGACTGGCAATGGAGACGGCCCCCCATGTTTCACCCCCACAGAGCCATTGTCCTGTGGTCATCATCTTCACCCTTTCTGGATCCCTCATTGACCCTGTCCACCTGCAGTCCAACTCTCCAAGCCTGGACCTGCTTCTCTCTGCCCTTGGCTCCTGCCACGGTAATCAGCCCATTGATTCTGTGTGTAGGTGACTTGTGATTCCCATACCCTAAGCCCCAGTCTGGGCTGTTTCACCCAGAGGCCACAAGCTAGAGTGGAGAGTGCCCTCTCTCCAGGAGCCTGCCGGTACTACTCAGAGCTCTGCCAGGCTCCCCCCACCCCGCCCTGTTTGTGAGCCCTCCCTTCTGAGCTCCGGCAAGTTCCTGTTTGGGTCAGGGTGCCTCTGCAGAGCAGCTGCACTGGCTCCGGGTGATCTCACCATTCCTGGCTCAGGTTACCCACCCACCCACTCACGTCCACCATTTCTTCGGGATGACTCATTCTCCATGGCATTCCCTTCACCAGAAGCGGGCCTCTCGAAAATTACTGTTTTACAGTATAAATATAGCTTCCATGCGCCGCAACATTGATACGCACAATTTCCACTAAAGGAGGAGGAGTGAGGGACCGTTTCATCATTCTCCTTGACACCCAAGTTGCATTTAATTCCAAGTTGATACAGCCCACATCATCTTCAGGAGATATTGAAAGATCTTTTGGCACCTTCTGTGTCTTGAATGCAGAAATGTGGAAGCACCACTTCAGAGAAGGATTTGAATGTTAAAATCTCCAGATCCTGTCAAAATGGTAGCATGTAATATTTGAAATAATGATAGCACATAGTATTTTTTGAGTACTCACTGCGAGCTGGACACTGTCCTAAGTTTTATATATGTAAAATGTGTGTCTGGGGGTAGATATGTATATATTTCTTTATTCACTTAGTCCTCATGATAGTTCTATGAGGTAGACACTATTAATGTCTTCATTTTACAGATGAGGAAGTTGAGGTACGGAGGGACTGAATAACTCTTAAGGTCTTACTGTCAGTTAGAGGTGGCCTCTGGATTTGTGTTTCCAACAGCCTTGTTCCAGAACCTGCAGGTTTAACCTTTAAACTTGCACAGAATAGAATATTTCCATACCTCGGAAAGGTCTGTAGGACAGCACTGTCCCTTGTTTGTAACTGTAGAAAGTGTATTCGTTCACTCACTAGGTGTCTGAGTGCCTGCACACACCGGGTATAATTCTAGTTACTGATGTTCCAGGGGTAAGGCAAGGAGGGAGCGAGATTATAGAGGACACCAGAAGGACAAGGACAATAGGTACCATCTCTGATTTGCTCTGTGTTCTTCAGGTGAAGCACCTTACACGGGACTGGAGAACCACAGCACATGCCTTGAAGTACTCAGTGACCCTCGAGTTGAATGAGGACCATCGGAAGGTGAGGAGGACCACCCCTGTCCCACTCTTCCCCAGCGAGAACCTCCCCAGCAAGATGCTCCTGGTCTATGACCTCTACCTGTCCCCCAAGCTCTGGGCCCTGGCCACCCCCCAGAAGAATGGAAGGGTACAGGAGAAGGTGATGGAACACCTGCTCAAGCTCTTCGGGACCTTTGGAGTCATCTCGTCAGTGCGAATCCTCAAACCCGGGAGAGAGCTGCCCCCTGATATCCGGAGGATCAGCGGCCGGTACAGCCAGGTGGGGACCCAAGAGTGCGCCATTGTGGAGTTCGAGGAGGTGGAAGCGGCCATCAGAGCCCATGAGTTCATGATCACAGAATCTCAGGGCCGGGAGAGCATGAAAGCTGTCCTGATTGGTATGAAGCCACCCAAAAAGAAACCATCCAAAGAGAAGAACCAGGACGAAGAATCCACTTCGAGCATCCACCTGAACAAGTCCCTAAACAGGAGAGTTGAGGAGCTTCAGTACGTGGGGGATGAGTCTTCCGCCAACAGCTCCTCCGACCCCGAGAGCAATCCCACGTCCCCTATGGCTGGCCGGCGCCATGCAGTCACCAACAAGCTCAGCCCTTCTGGCCACCAGAATCTCTTTCTGAGCCCGAATGCCTCCCCGTGCTCAAGTCCTTGGAGCAGCCCCTTGGCTCAACGAAAAGGCGTTTCCAGAAAATCCCCACTGGCCGAAGAAGGTAGGCCGAACTCCAGCACCAGTCCTGAGATCTTTCGCAAGTGCGTGGATTATTCCTCGGACAGCAGCGTCACTCCCTCTGGCAGCCCCTGGGTTCGGAGGCGCCGCCAGGCTGAGATGGGGACACAGGAGAAGAGCCCCAGAGCGAGTCCCCTGCTCTCTCGGAAGATGCAGACTGCAGATGGGCTACCTGTGGGGGTGCTGAGGTTGCCCAGAGGCCCTGACAACACCAGAGGATTCCACAGTGGACACGAGAGGAGCAGGGCCTGTGTATAAATACCTTCTATTTTTATTACCAGCTCCATTGAAAACCTCCTCTGTTTTCAAGGTTCTGACAAATACCGGGCATGATATAGAGTGAAATTAAGTCCCATTGGAAGATTTTGTATACATGTAGACCTCTTAATTTATATGTTTGTAATATATATGAATTGCCTGGTATGCTCTGGTTTTAAGACCCTCTTCTAGTTCAGAGCACCCATTCCTCCCAGCATGACCATTATTTTGATGATGCCCAACGTGTGTGAATGGCTCTGGAGGGCTGTGGGACAGAGTCTGCCCAGAGAGGGCCTGGCAGTGGGTCTCTTCTTCGTGGCAGGGTTCTTCTCTCCAGTGACCGAGCCATCCTCAGTTGGCCATGCAAGGGCTTCTTGAAAGCCCCGAGGAGTTCTGTTGTACGACAGCAACTAGTTAAGCCAGTAGCATGGTGTTTTATACGACCAAATATATGTTTCCTGTCAAGTGAATAAATAATAAAACACCTAACTGGGAGTGCTGGGTCTGAACCCATAGACTGTGCCTGACAAAATCTGTGTGCATCTGACAAGGCCGTGGGTGGTGTCATGAGGCTCTGAGGAGCTTAACAGGGACACATTTCTTGAGTGTGCCCCAGGGCTCTCCTTGGGGCTTCCGGCAGCCTGAGAGGTCAGCAGAGCTTGTGCAGGTGTTAGAGCACCACAGTCTTTCATTACAATGAATCGTACCAAACAAAGGCAGCTTAGTATAGACCAAGTTCTCTAGATGTGGCCCCCGGACCAGCAGTATTGACACCATCTGGGAACTTGTTAGGAATGCAAATTCTCAGGCCCTACATCAGCTGACTGAGTCAAAAACTCTGGGAGAAGGGCCTAGAATCTGGATTTTAGCAAGCCCTCCAGGGGATTCTGATGCACTCTAGAATCCGAGAGCCACTGGTATGGACAGTGGTTGTGGGGCTTGAGGTCAGACAGTTTGACTCCCATATCCCCAGCTTACTAGTTCTGTGACCTGAAGAGAGTTACCCGCCCCCCTCGGCCTCGTCGGCCTCGTCGTATCCCTGTGAAGTGCTTTGCCTTGATGTCAGTTTCTGAGATGCAGCTGGCCCTCCATCAGTGTTAGCTCCATTTCAGTGGAAGCTGCCTGGGTGGAGCAGAAAGGGTACTGGCCTAGATTCCAGGGTTCGCTTATCCACTCGAACCTTGGGGGATTTTAGGCAAGTCACGTTTAATGGGATTCGTTAATAACTATTGAACAGTGATTGGATGCCAGGGACTATGCTAAGAGTTTTCCATGCATTATCTCATTTAATCCTCCCAACCACCACACAAGAAAGGTTCACATGTTATTTCTGTTTCACACTGGAAGAAACAGAAGCTTCGTGTGGGTAACTAAGTTGTCCAAGGTTTACGAGCTAGATGATTGGTGGAGCTTGAACCTAGCAGTCTGGCTCTGGATCCCACACTCTGAACACCAGATGGGTCTCAGAATGTGGAACCTCACCATCCACATTCCAAAAAGAAGAAACCCCAAATGGCGCTAATATTTATTCAGCACCTTCTATGTGCTAGGCATCTGGCTAGACACATCCTTTCATTTATCCTCTTAGTGTCCCTGTGAGGTATTATTGTACCAGTTTTACTCATGAAGCTGCTGAGGTAGGATAATACCTCAGGCCATTGTGAAAATGGGAAAAGAGAGTGTATTTTTAATTATACAGCTCTGTACAAATTAGCAGGTGATTGTTATCTGGTTAGTAAGGTAGTGTGCCCCTAGAGTCCCAGAAGAATTCCTATTAACTGGTAAAAGCCTTCAGGAATTCCTCAGATTTGCTATTTCCACCACTACAACTGTAGGTGGCCCAAAGGCTTATATCTGGAGCCTAGGCCTTCTGACCCTGGGCAGTACCACTCCAGGTCCTGCCCTGGGCCTCCCTCTCTTACCCTCAGTCCCACTCACCCCCTACCTGGTCCCTCCCACAGCCACCTGCCAATGGGACACCTGGGCTTCACCACCTCTTACTGGCCTGGCTACATTCCAGGTGTTTCCACCCCTTTACACCCTGGCACACAGCTGCAGCTCTATTTTAAGATCCTCTCCTGTGGATCATAATTACTTTAAAAAGTACCTACACTCTCACCTTTCTATGCGAATACAGATGAGCTTGGCCTTCTGTCCGTGGCACTGCCCCATGTGACCTTACGAAAGAACCCTGAACTTGAGGTCAGCAGATCTGGATTCTAGTCGTGGCTTTTCTGGTAAGTAACTGTTTGGCCTTGAGCAAGTCATTTCTCTTTGTGAGTTATGGTTTCCCCTTCCAACCAGTGAATAATGGTAAGGTGCTCCTTAAATAAGGCCATAAGGCCATGTATGTGAAAGTGCCTTATGAAATGAAAAGTACTTTATAGATGTTAGTCATTACCCTGCTCTCCGATCATCTCCAAAGACAAATCCTCCTTCTGTGCTCTGGTGCTTAACTAGGGCCTCACATGGGAGTCACCTAGAGAGCTTTGCAAAACTGCCTATGCTCACCCTGACATAGTCTGATTTAATTGGTTCTGGGGTGTGGCCTGGGCATTGGTGGTTTTTAAAGCTCCTTGGGTGATTCTGATGAGCGGGCAGTGTTGAGAAGCACTGACTCCTTGGAATGAGGAGGGGACTTGGGATAAATTGAGGGAGTCTCAGAGACACTGATCCCTCTTCCTTATTCCAGACTGGGGTGTGGTCTCCTTTGTAGACCTCAGTGCAGCCCAGAGACCCTGAGCACCTTGCTGATGAACCTGATCTTCCTAAATCTCTGGCCAAACCTTTAGCTGGGGCATGGGATTCCTGTTTGTGAGCAAAGCAGGACTTTCTGGAATAGTTTGACTGGGAAAGTTAGCCAACAGCCTTTTTACAGATGTTTCATTATTTTTAATGAAAACCAGCTCCCTCTCCATGTGGGGACCGGAAACCTGCTATACATCTCCACTTGTGGTGCTGGTAGAACATCCACATTCCACACACGTCCAAAACACCACCTTGTCTGCCCTCCCCTACCCCCACTGACCCACCCAAGCACACACCTGCTGCTCCTGACTTCCTATCTCAGCCAGTGACGTCACTGTCCTCCGCGTCCCCTGGACTGGAGAAGAGACCTTGTAGCATATGTGACGAATGGAGGTTCTGGACTTTGACCCTCTGGGTTCAAATCCTAGTGACCTCTGACAAGTGACTTAGCCTCTCTGTGCCTCAGTTTCCTGTCCCAGGAAAGGTGGCTGATGATAATTCCTACCCCCAATTTGTCAGAATTAAATGAGTTAATTTTTGTAAACTGCTTGCTAACCTGCACATAGTAAAAGCTCAAAGAATGTGAGGTTGTCATATTTATACCTTCTTCCTTTTTTCCCACATTCAATCAACAACTCAGAGCTGTTAGTTCCAGCCCTGAAATGTTCCTTACATGTTCTTTTCCTCCCCACGTGCTTACTTACGTCCATACACCCTCCTCCCTGTCCTCAATCCTCGTCTTTAATCTATCCCCCGTCATGCCACCAAACCCATCTTACTAAAGCAGAGTTCTGTTTGCATAACTTCCCTAACTTTAAAAAAAAAATTGCTAGCTGCCCCTTTCCTAAACACAGAATAAGGGCCAAGCTGGCTCAAATTCCTGCCATGCAGTGCGTCTTGGAGGGAAGTCTCTCTGAACATTAGCTCATTGATCCACAGTCTGTTGGCCCGTAGGGTGACCTGAGCTTCAGGCCAGCTTCACGTCCAGAAGCATGTCCGTGCCTGTATCTTGTTTACTATTGCATCACCCCAGGGTGTGGCCGGGTTGAAAAGGCTCTGTTTGGTTTTAACCAAACATGGTTAGTCTCATGTGGGACTGAACCACATGAGAAAGTACTTTTTGAAGACACATAGGTCAGTGATTATTTTTAAATACTTTCCCTAAAATGTGAATTCGTTTTTTCCAGTAGTTTTCAGCTACATATTCTATTCCCTATGAGTTGTAAAACATGCTGGGAAAGCTACCTAGAAACTAATGGCAAAACTCTAAGGAGGAAAGGATTGAAACAGCAGGGAGTGTTGACTTGTTTCCAAAGCCATCTGATGCTGCTTAGTGAAGAGGTAATCCTGTAAGTGACAGCCTGAGAACTTCCTTCTCATGAAGCATCATTCAGGATGATGGTCATGCAGATGGATCAGTCCTTTGCGTTGCTGCCAATGGAGCCAGCTGAGTGGGGGCCATACCAGCCACTCACTGCTCTGGGAGCTGGAATAAACAGGGTCGTGGGGGGCGTATCAGGAGTGTGTATGCAGCTACTGTGCTACTTTCGCTTGGACCAGTTTCTAGTTGAGCAGCTGTTTGCACAGCAGCCCTGGTTTGGAATCAGCTATAGGATGAGCAGAAGCAAGTGAGTTATGTGTTGTGACGGTACACAGACATCAATATATTCCACAAATATTCCCCAATATGAGTAAAAGAAGCAGCGGGCTGAAAGGCTTTGGATGAAAGATGACTCCTAAGTGATCCTTGCCCTTTTCTGTAACTGGAATGTGCAGTAGGTTCAGATCTGCCTTCTCACCACTGCAATTATAGTTAATCCACCTTCAAAGATGAATTTGGGTAGGTCAATTTGTTGTGGCTGTTCCGGAGAGGTCGCCCAGAGGCAAATTCTTCTCATTACTTTACTCTCTTAGTGCCCTCTAGTGTCCAAATTGGGACACAGCCCTGTCTAAAGGGAACATATCCTGTTACCTGCAGAGTCCAGCTTATGTTCCCATGGTTGCGAAACAAGAACGACCCTAAGTACCGGACTTGCCACTTGTCAGACTGTGAGGCCTGTCTCATCCCTCTAAGCTTCAGTTTCCTCACCTGTAAAATGAGAATGATAATACCTACAACATCAGTGTTCTTGTGAGGATTAAAGGGGATACTGTAATACGTGGAAGGTACTCCAGCATAAGGAAATAGCTCCCCAAAATACATCGTCACTATAACTCCCGGCCATAAACTCATTCAAAGAAGGATGGGAAAGGCTTATTTATAGTACTAATCAGTTTGCATTATAGCGATTGTTTATGCACCATTTCTTTGCTGGATCATGAACCAGGAGGTAAGAACCACTATCTCAACACTTCTTATAGCATCTGCCCATGGCTGGAACTCAGGAAATAATTGTTGAATGGATACTGAATAAAAACTTATTTTCCTCAGCCTTAAAAATATTGTACATTGTAATATAAATTTAGTGTTTCCAAACATCCAAATAGGCCATATAGATTCTAAGGGCTCTATAATTCAGCACTGTTTGACAACTTCACCTTGTCCTGAAATTCTCTGGCCCTGGAATCCACCTTGGAGTGTCCATACGTCCCATCATAAAGTATGGAAAAGCATATTTTGCAAGGTTAAGTCTAGAATGGGGACTGCTGAGCTCTGAACCACCGAGGAATCTGAAAAGGAGCATGAGTACCTAGGACAAATGTGGAAGAATTTAGGAATGATGGAGTAGAGATTTTTGGAAGTCATG